TGGATCACAGTTAGTTGTCATGGTGTTGAGGGCCCAATGACCTCTGGGTACTATTGCGCAATTTTTCCATTTTGTGGCGGAGGAAAAAAAAAAAAAAAAAGACTCTTACCTTGAAAGAAAAAAAAACAAAGAACTAGCAAAGTCAGTAACATTTGAAAACGCAACTCTTACCTTGAAAGAAGTGAACTAGCAAAGTCAGTAACATTTGAAAACGCAACGGAGTTGAATCCTGTCCCGCTTGATTCATCTTCTATCCGTCGGTTGAACTAACGAGGAAACTGGTCTTATTTAAACGCATACATAAATTAACTCTTTGTAGTAGACATAAAAAAATGGCAGGTGATGACAACCTTTTTTCTATTATTTTTTCTTTGGTCAACAGTATTTAGACTAGTGAGTAGTACTATATCTCATTTAAAAGAGGACAAAATAAGCTTTGCAGAAAAATATATTTTGCCTTCAAAACTCCATGTATTTATTCCATAAAAGATTTTATTTGATTTAGTTCAGACGCACTCTGCGTCATTCGATCTGTCATCGGCTGATAATTTGAGCCGTTGCGTTCTAAAATTCCATTGAACATTATTTACTCCGTCGCTTCAAATCGTGTTTGATCACAATATATATTACTTTACATTCAAAAATATATCGATTCTTCGATTCTTCGCTGGGATTTTCCAGTTTTCTGTCTAATTCGGATTCCTCACCACCAGACATACCACCACGCTCACTTCCATCGTCAAAAATCGTCTTTAAAGCCTTAGCTACGCTGTATCTCTAGCGTTTCGCATCGGACGCCATTGTCGGAGATTGAAATCGTACGGAAATGATTTTCGGAAGTCAAGCAATATTGTGACGCTTGCGACGAAAGAGGAAACTTCGAGGGGTGTCGCTATGCGTGTTTTCTAAGTGTCGCTGATGTGGGAACTATTTTACCGGTCGTAATGAAACCACGAAAACCAAGATGACTATCAACGGTGTTTATTTAGATCACGGTCACGATCACGATCGTAAACTGAAATTGCAATAATATTATAACGAAAGCATGAATCTAATTGAATTGGTGCGAAAGGCATGAAAGAAACGCTTTACGTGCTTATGTCGATAACGCGATTAAAATAACAACAATCAACGTGAATTAACATAAACAAATCATAAAAGGCTAAATTAAAACTACTCGAGATTCAAAGATCGGCTACACGATGACCATTTGCGGCTGATTAACAGCCCAAAGACTAAAATGTGGGCGTTACTGTGTGAGCGTCTAGTTATTTCAAAATACTCCTTGATTTCAAGATAATTAGTTGTACTGTTGTACAACACAGTACATATGTGCGCTATCGCCCAAGGTGAAAAACTAAACTTAAACATATTGAAATAAAACTAACAAAATCACTTACATATCGGTCCCGCTTGTGCCAAAGGTTTGGAACGAAAGACGAAGTTATTGCTGTTCAAGGTGAAATCTTGCGAAACTCTGGCTTATAGGGACGCTAATTTAGCTTTTATATGCGCGTGGTGACGCTAAAAGATCCGATTACAAACCAATAGGGAAAAAGATAAACATTGTAACTACGATCGTAACTAGGCACACAAATTAAAGTAATTGACAATTGATCTAATAAAAAAAAGGCTGTTCTTTGTTCGATATCCTTAACAAATATATATCATCGTCTTAAACCAGATGAGCCCATGACATATCAGTGGCATCTTGTATGAGTATCCGCAGGTTACAACGTGACTTCCGCTTATTCTCGTTGAACCGTATTCACAGTGCACTCATGTATTAGGAAGTTCGCGTTGTGCGTTTGAGCAAAAGAGGGCTCTAAACATCATTTTCCCGTTTATGAGTTATGAGGACGCGCTTAAGAAGTCAGGCTTAATTAATCTATGCCAGAGGAGGGAGGACGCATGCGTCACTTTCCTTAAGCGAAGTTACTACTCTTCTGACCTACTACGAAATTTAGTACCGCGATGTCAATTTCAAGACCATATGCCCTCAGGGCAGGAAGAACTGTGTCTGTACCTACCTCCTCAAGATCTATTAGATTTGGAAATTTTTGTACTATTAAATATCAGAATCATGTGTAATATACTTAACTGCAATTTATCTTATTAGTATAGTATTTAATGTTTACACAATAGTTAATCTTTATATTTAATTGATATCTAAAATAGTTCTATGTATGCATAATGTAGAAGTATTTGTAAATTATGACCCGCCTTGTAATTCAGTTTCTACTGCAAGAAGGCTGAATAAACGATCATCATCATGTACACAAACACATATGTACATATGTATACATGGGCGCTAAAAATGGAGGGCCTTCCCTTTCCCTTTTTTATTTTTATTTATCTATATTTCAAGTTAATAACACGACCCCACAAGCTCCTGGCTTTAAATACCTATAGTGTCTAAATAAAGTTTTACTTCACTTTACTTTACTTTCAATATGATTTGTTTTGTAAATCTCTGCATGTGAGCTTACTTACCCAGCTTACTGCAATTTGAAAATCTTCCTGTTTGTTTACATGCAGTAAAACATGTGGTCGTAGCTATCTCGTACTGTTTAATGAGTTCGTCAGCGCTGCTTTCATCGTTAATACACCCGGAATAAGGGTCAAACAAACATATCCTGTAGCTGAACTTTCTGGGCCGACTTGTTGTTTATATTTCGACAAGTAAGAACAAGGAAACAGCATTCCGAGTTATAATTTTGCATGTTTGGTATATAACCCACGCTCAGAAAGCACCAACGCAGTGCACAGTGTTCTAAAGCCTGCAAAAGTCATTTTAAGCTTTTCAACAGATGGCTCGTTGAAAAATGATAAATATGGAAACAATGCATACTAGGAAATAGGAAAGACAAAATAAAAAGTGTTTGTGAACCAAGAGAATAATTAGCCCGTAATCATTTTTATGATCGCATCCCGACGACTCAGTTATTAAAGTACAGCGTCATTTCACAATCTAGCCAGTGTACATGTGATTCTTACTCCATGGTGTAAACTGAAAAAAATAGCGCACTCATTCATATGCTGGTTTCGCGACAACATTGTGAAGTCATACTCAGAACAACAGAAATCGGTTTAACTTGAGTATTACGATGCAGAACGGATACAATTTTTTATCTAAATACGTATCCTTCTGGAGCTATAACTCGTTCAAAATATGAATGCGTGTAAACGACATAAATAATTAAATCCATTACTCAAATAATACAAAACGAAATTTTTTAAAGAAATTATTATTGGTGGTGAAAAATGATACGAGTTAATGAATGTGAAGAAAAGCTTTAGTAAGAAGAGCTTTTAAAAAAGTCATGCGCGTAATAAAAACTCGCAATTTTAGGAAACTTACAAACGCCGAGTTCCGCGTTTCATTCTCTTTCAGTTCTGATCATTTATTAAGAAGGGTTTTATCCTTTCGGTGTATTCAAGAGATACTAGGTAAATTTAACTGAATGACACCACATCATCTTGTTGGGAGGGAAACCCAGGCTCTGGTAGGCTTTTACCCTACATACAAGTTTAAAACGTGCTGTTTTAATCGATTGACATCATCATTGATATTTTGTAGCATTTCCTGTGGGCGGCAAGGCGGTTGATAAATACAGTTTGATAATGTCACCCGAGCACTTGTTGACGCAGTTCGATGACTCGGCTTCTATGCTCATACGGCATAAAATTTAATGTTTTGCAAACTCTGACAACGAGGAAAAAAATATGGTTTAACGTATGTCTTGGCAGCTATTGCGTCACGTTTATAAATTTTTTCTCCCCTAAAACATACTGCCGCAACCGAAGAAAGTTTGATTTTTCTTTACATAACGATTTAAGTCTCTGACCTATTTCAGTTTGAAGGTAAATTTTTATTACCTAATACAATCAGGTTATATCAGAAGAACTGGAGGTGTAAACGTATTTCCCTAAAGACATCATTCAATGCAAAATAGATCGATATGCCGACCCCTAAGGAAATGGGTTTTGAGTAACAAAGATGACTTATTATGATAAAAAACCGTGCCCTACGGTATCAAATTAAAATCGACAATTTCAAGGAAGAGACTGACTAGTTTCCTTGCAGCAAACTATTTTAACCTCCGATTAAAGAGCAATATAAACTGTCGGGTAACTTTCCCTTTGATAAAAAGTTTTCTTGTCAAAAACCGACAGAGGTTAAAAAAAAAATGTTGAAAGAGGATAAGCGGGCTAACGCATGTCGTACACGTACGCTAAGTTCTTAGGGGCATGCGTGTCCTTCGTTGTAGTCAAAGTACTGCATATCGCTAATATATTAAAAACAATGTATTAGAAAATTTAGTAACTGCTCTTACAGCGAACTTTCCAAATATCATTTTTTAGTTTTATTTCTCAACATATACACTGCGCTCGTGATCGCGAGAGAAAACAGCGGAACAAACAGCAAACAACATGATTTCATGATATGACTTGCTTTAAAATGAACCATGCCGAGCGTCAATCCTAAATTTACATTTTTTAAACTCACTTTCAATGATCAAACTGTTTTAAACCTGATCACTCCACCCAATGAAAAGTTTAACAAATGTCAAAAAGTCATTTCTTGATTGCCTTAATTCGGCGGTTCTGTGTGCTATCAGCCCTGATGATTGAGGTTCTCGGAGAGTTTAAGTTTAAAGATACTTGCTTTACAGATTGAAAACACCTTGAACACTATCCCAGGATTTATCAAAAAGAAAATTCTCCCGACGGTATGAATACATTTTCAAACAGATAGATGATGAGTATTAAGATGAATACCAGTTGGGGGATATTGTTTGATGACACCAAAATTCTCAGAGCGAAAAGTTATAACAAATTATTGCAAAAATTGCAGGGAAATTGTATATCGATGTTGCGCGTGAGAGTGTTAAGGAAACCACTGTACTTAAATCTTTATATTTCTTATAAAGTAGTGAAGATAATATAATATTAAAAATAAGGAGCTCGAGGTAAAATTAGAAAGGAACGTGGATGGCTAAGCAGACTGGTGTGTGAACTGCAAGAAATCAGTTTAAAAATCATGGGTAAAGTTGGGTAAGATCTAGATTTCCAAACCTATTTTTTGGTCTAGTGATATTTTTTGAGCAATATAAAATAATCACAACTTATAAAACAGTGGTAAATGAAGTACTGATACTCTTTTGTGTCTCAGGACGAATCTTGTTCACGAGCGTAAAAAGTCGTTTTTCCTTCGCTGCACTCGATCTTCTTGTGCCGAGCGTTGATTTTTCATTTGCAGCCATGGATACACTTCTCGATATTTCCCATCTTTGCCTTTTTGTCTCTAAGGCGACTCTGATTTCTTTACTTCGCACAACATGAAACAGGAAGATGAAAAAACCCTGTCAATGGCAAGAAAAACATTACTAAGGTTAGAAACGCATGCGCCTGTCTGTTGTTTAGTTCAAGGAATCGAGGAACCTTAGCCGGGTTTTTAAGCTGTGCTCCGCATTGTCTCTCACAAGTCACTCTCAACCCTACACTGGAATGCACCTAGGGGTTAATGCGATGAAGTAGGCACTTCACACTAGAGGAGTATCGGTACTCAAAGCCGCGCTCAGGCTGAGGAAAACGCGATATTAGCTTCGGTAGCGTGGAGCAATTTCCTCGATAGGTCTAAATTAAGTGCTGCTGCTACTATATTTAGTCATCAAGAGTAACACCACAAGTCTGACGAAGAAAATAGTTCTGTAATCCTGTGGATGTAATTTTGCTCAAGGAACTCGACTTTTATCGACAGGTCAGGGTTTGCAGTCTCGGGGGATCGTTTTCTGTGCACTGCCATTAATAAGAACCTTTACTCCTGTCAACTCGTCACTTCTAAACACTTAAATCACTCCGGTTTCTTCCTAATCCTTCAGTAAAACCTCTTAAAAAATGATATTGAAGATACTCGTGACCGACACCTCTTAGCCATAATCCTGCCTATCGAGAAATTGACGGCTGAAACGCTTACAATTTCTAGTCTTGGTGACAATGCCTTACACATGCTGGACGTTTGACTCACTTGTAAAGAGTTAAAGATAGTAAACAAATATTGGAAGACCAGCCCAGCGTCTGTGACGGTCAGAATCCCGAAAATCCATGTGAGGCCGAGCAATGGGAATAGAACTACACAGGCCTTTAGACTTTTCCTGTAAGCAAAACAAGGATCGAATTGTGTCAATCGAAATAAACAACAACAGCAGCTAATACCTGATATCAATTATGTGATAAGTTGAAAGATATATGATTTTTTACTGGTTCTTCCTTACGATCTGTTAAGGACAAACAACTCTTTCCTTTTTTGATCATACAAAACAAATATATTTTATGTCGGGGTGCCGGGTCTGTAAAATAACAGATTGTAAAAAAACTGTTGTACGAACACCTGTTGCACATCCGGCTGCGCCTCGTGTGCCAATGTTTTTGTTCTTACCACTTTTAGACTTCATCTGTGAATTATTACTGAACAAGCACACGGCATCGTGGGATATATTTGTTAATTCGGCAAGTCCAACACCGAAAGGTAACAAAGTAAATTTCAAAAAAACAAGCCACATCTTATAAAACAAGTGCCTTAAAACGATTTTATTGTTTATTGATATCAAACAATAGATACCACTGAAAACATACGATAAAAAGCTAAAAGCGAAAATGTAAATGTATGCTTCGGCCAACACACACAAACACACTGAAAACTTGAAAGAGTACACGATGATACTACACAAAACTCTGCTAGAGCAAGTTGTACCTGCATGAATGAGTCTCTGAGACCCCAGATACGTCCTTTAGCCTCGTGATCTCCACTATGATCCGTATTAGGAGGACTAAGTTTATCTTTAAAAAAAACGTTTCAAAGAGAGACTATGTCAGTTTCCGTATATTACTGATTTCGATTTTTTTGTTTATCACTGGTTTCGAGTGTAAGGGCTAACGGTCAAACGTCAGCTTTAGATTCCCTTGATGGTGGCCATACACTTTATAAACTAAGTTGATGAAATAAAATACTTGCAATAACCCCCACGTCACTGACGCGGCACCACAGATTCTCTAGAAACTTACCTCTTTTACTTTATTGTAGTGGGTACATGTGCTTAAAGAAAAAAAGATGGTGTGGAAGCTACATAGCACGCACTGGGTTCCTCTTTTGACTCTGCGGGTTTTTAATCTAGTAAAACCCTAGTTAATGGCCATTCAAATAAATCCATCATGGCGTTCATCATTTGAATGCGACGATCAGAAGATCAAGGTTCAACCTTTTACTGTTAATGAATGAATTCTAATAGACACAGTGCATATTTTACTTACCAAACATGCAAGAAGTACCGATCCAGCAAAAGCCCACATGAAACCAGAAGAAAATGCAAACCAACAGCTGCAAAATACACGAAAAATTCGATTGAACGTAAAAATACTTCGATCTTTCTTCGTCGAGTTATTTTGTTGTGATCTTAGGCACGACACAGGATCTCTCTCTTTCCAGAAGCATTAATAGTATAGACACTCCTAATCCCTACATGCTACCCAGCGAAACTAAGCTAAGCACTTAGCATGCAATACAGTCACGCTTACAACCTTACCAACGCATGTAAATTGTGAGTAAAACAAAAGGATACATGAACACAGAAACAACTACAATAGTTACGACATCAACATGCAGAAGAGGCTTAACTACGTCAACAGATCGTTTTGTACTACTCACACGTCATCACGCATACTGTTATCCGTGCTTCCATCGAGGATAACAGTTATACCAAGTGCACTAGCTACCACCAACGTTGGAACACCTTCGGAGAAAAAAAAAATAGGATACAGCCTGGTGTTGTTTCAGGCTAAATATTACAGATATCTGAATCATATAATCATGAGTTCATGTTATTAGACAAAAGATAATACTCAAAAGTGTACTTCACCGTTTTGAATAACCTCATCACAACCTTGTTGCAATTTCGAGTGGAATCTTTATTTGGGGCAAATCCTGGGAATATTTACAATGACCCATGAATAGAGGTTTTCCTAACAGGAATAGGGATTATAGGATTATCCCACCAATGCCAGATAAAAAGATTATTTCAGGGTTGTATCCTTGAATTGAGGTGACCTCTGTACGGAGATGTCCAGGAAGAGAGGTTTTAATTCCAAAATACGAGAAAAGATATGAACCAGGTTGATTTTATTGTTTTTATTTGGTCATATTTAGTGTTCAAGACTGATTTCACACGACGAGAAATTGTCCAATCTAATTCTTCGAAAGAGTTCATCAGAACGAAGTCTCGTCAGTGGTCGAAAGAGATTCTTTTACCCCAATGGGGGGGCATAGAAGAACTTTGTACTTGTGGTAACATTAGTGTTTGAGACGGATTTCAGAGGAGAAGAAAACGTTAAACCGAAAGAGGTCACTAAAAAAAAGTCGCTTCTTTGATATAATGAGATTCTTTTTACCCCAAGCGAGGGCATAGAAGATCTTTGTACTTGTGTCAACATTGAAGACTTTGACAACTTTTAAATAGAGCATGACTCCTTCCGTAACCATCCAAGCGAAAGCAACAAGGTAGAAGTAATTTATTGTTATCGCGACAATCGCGCACAACGTCTAGAGGGAAAATAAAAAAAATTAATTTAATATAGAGCGGCAAATCAAATCAAAACAAAACGGCCTGAAGCTCGAGGAACCACGAGTGATCAAGTCGCTAGATTCCGTTTTGCATATAATTAATTGATCGAATGGCGGGACTCTGCTGGTTGACTAACTCTGTCAGCTACACTGCACCTCATCAAGTTTGCGTATACGTTTGCATTAGGTTTTCATACCAACGTTACCTTCATTTGAGTGGCTTGGATACCAGTCATAAAAACTAACTGGGCGATAACCAGGCACATTACCAAATTCAACCGGATATGGGACTGAGAGGATTTCAGATTCCTTGGAGGTAAGCAGAATCATCTGGTGTTAGCATAATTGGACCATAAAGGTAAATTTGAATCTTTGCAGAGTTCCACACAGTGTTGATAAGTAAACTAGCTTTATACATAGAGAAGAAGCAAGGTGAAATACACGATAACGCATACAAGAAATGGAAGCTATTTGCACTTACATAAGAACTAAATAGACCAAAATGGTGATAGTCTCGCCAATCAAAGACAGTGAAAGTCCAATGTAGGTCACCAACGCTAGTGCAAATTTGTGATCGTCAGAGATCTAGATGAGAGAATGAAAATTATGTACTCCTTAACTTCGTTAAATCAGAGGTAAGCATGCTTTACAGGACTCCAAAACCTCTCAACCCTTTAACTCCCAGAGGTGTTGAACATGAAAATTGTCCTTACAATGTGCATGCATTGTCTCGCAAAAACTTAATGAGAATACTCAAACTCATCAGGTAAAAGTTGTTATTTGGATCTAACACCAAATTCTCGAAACCAATTCACGAGAAAATGTGTAGCACTTAGAGGGGGAAATAAACTATTAGATCTTGGGAATAAAGAGATAAATATGAACTGAACGAATGCACTTTGAAATTTTTTTTTATTTGGCTATATGTGGTGGTTGTGGTTGCGGTTTTCGTTGTTGTGTTCTTCTCTTCTTCTCTTGATCCCGTTACGCCAGCCAGAGAAAACCACATCCTCTGCATTTTTTTAAGAAGCTAAGTTAAACCATATGCTGAAAAATTTGAGAAAAGAAAGTTGAAAGGCCAAACCTTTGTCTCACCCACTTCCATTAAGACAGCGAAATTCGTCAGATGATTACAACTGCAGGTAGTCCGCTCTTTGGTTTCCTGAACCAGTTTACAACCCTTTTGGGACCAAGCACCGTCAAACTTTGTTCTAAAGGATAATGATAATATCAATGATATCAATAATAATAAAATATAATAACGATGATAATAATAATAATAGTAATAGCATAAACAATAATAACATCAACAAATAGATCCCATGTTGTCGTGCATGTGCTCAGTAATAGATCATAGATGATGTCAACACGTAGTACGAACAAGAAAATGGCACATTAGTCTTAACGCTGTCAAGGGTGACGTAATCTATGCGTCTGTTCCCTAATAGACCCCATATAAGAACCATTCAAATTATGTACATAAATTACCTTATCACATAGACAAAAATAACCATGGTGGTAATGGCAATGGTAATAATATTAAAAGTAACAACGATAATAGAGTTGACGATGATGAAATACTTTACTAGATGATATTTTTTGTTTCCTCTATAGTGGCTAATGGTTAGTTGACTGGTGTATCTATGTTTAATCGATTTTAATTCCTTTCTTGATGCTGGGGCCTTTTTTAGAGAGTATCATTCAATGATTGTAGTTCGTCATCTAAACTAAGCCTTCATACCTTATCGAAAAATTCCAAAATACACAGCTCGTCTGTGTGGCTGTTAAGTTATCCTGAGGAAAATTCGCATATATAACACTTTAAGGATGCCTTATCTACTTGTATTAATACATGAAATATTAAACAATGTTGCAAGATAATTCACCTTATTGCGAGAAAATTCTTCAAACATTTACCTTGGTGTTAGTAAGGTTAATTACGACGTCCTCTTCAAAGTTGCCTCGAACCTCTGGTTTTACTGTACACGATATGATCCGAGTGCGTATGGTGGACTTCTTTCTAAAGTGAGAGAAAAAGTAGTTTCCAGTCTCTTTTAATGAAACGTTTGACCCATTCATAACAAACTTTAAATTTGACTCACTCACGCAGATTTTCGAAGGGCAAAAGGAAAAACGAAAAATGAAAAAAAAACCTGTTGACACACGCATACAAACCTGTTATTGACATTATTTGCTCCTTCAGGCATTAAGTCGGCGGCGTTTTTGTACAACGCACAGACAACGTATCGGTCTGAGGTAAAGAGAAATATTGCGATAGATTGCCATAAACGATACAACTGTCATCGTCTAAGTTAAAAAATGTATGACTGGAGAGTTAAAGCCAAACAGTAGGGCAAAAGGACTTCTTGTCAAGTGTCAGTGAAGTCGCTATTTATGATTTTGGTTGAGATATATCATGTAGAGGTCATAATGCGTGTGCTTAAAGAATGACTAAGGATGAGATGTAAATCGTAGAAATGTAAATGTGCAGTGTATGGAAATGTTTCGTATATGTTGGGCTTCAATTCTCAGTAAGAAAAAAAAAGAGTATACATTTATTAAGCAAATCGAAAAATACATTTACATTACAAAAAAATGTGAATACGAGATAATGTTTTAATACCTTGATTAAACATGCCAGCAGAAAGCGTAATGGCTCCCTTCTCTTCTTGAATGAAGCTCTCGTTAAAAGTATTAGCATGGGACGGGAATACGACACCACGTTTGTGATCAGCAGAAACTCTCATCACTGACATACCTTCAGTAAGAATAGTAAACAAAGAAACAAATAAATAACAAAGGTAAGAGACATCAAATCATTTTCGAGCTTCGGTCGTAATCTTGGCAGATAAGTGATAGCAGCCAGTCAACCATGCCCAGTAAAGAAACAAACATGAAATCAAGACCACTGGTGTTCGAAAAGATTACAACACAAACAAACAAACAAGGAAACAAATAGAAATAGCAACTATAATTTGTAAAATAGTAACGAAATGAGCGATACCTAATTCTTTCTGCTCAATAGAAATTTCTCTCTCAGAACCATTTTGGGGCGTCAAGTGAAGGTTAGCATAATTCATAGCAAAGACTTCCAATTTCTCAAAGCTAACAAGAATATTGACTTTGCTGTCTGCAGTGCTTGCCTTTCTAACAAGCGTAGAGGTGAGATTTACAGCATTCTGCAAGAAATAAAAATAGGAAAAGGCAAAGTTTACTGTAAAAAGGCATTTATAATAACTACTATATTTTTGATAAATTTTTGTGAGTAAAATCCAGTATCAAGTATAGTATCCAGCGCCATTTTTCTTCATATTTGATGGGAATACCTAGGTCAAATTCATGCTGGTGGTTATCGGTCTTGACTGTCAGCTCGGTAGCCAACCGCTTTGCCTTTCAAATTTTAGGAAATGCCCCTTTTGATACGTACACCATGGAAGTAACAGGCCAACGCACGAGAAATGAAAGACAGTTTGAAATCATCAACCTCCCGTGAACCAATGTGCAAATTTACTATTGTATAAACGAAACATAGCTGTAGTTCGTAAGCTTAATAAAGCAAATATGTATAATTCTACATCCATTTGTGAGCCTGTTTTCCATTCGTAAATTACCTCTAGAGACGAAGGCTCACTAGCGTTGAGCTGTTCTATTTCATTGGCATATTCCTCAACCTGCAATTTTAACAAATTGTATAATACTTTACTAGCTACTGTGGCGGCAAAAGAAGGTAAGAGGGGTATTTACGAGTCTTATTTTCTTTCGCGTGTAAACCAAATGCAATGGGAATGCCTCGAGTTTTCTTGGTAACAAGGCGGACAGAATTACACGAAGGTTTGACACTTTTTCCACGATAAAGTGCTGATACCCTCGCATTTTGTCACTCATCGACACTAGCAGACTAATTTTGATAGGGAATGGGTAGAGGAGTCAACAAATAAAAAAATAGCAGCTTTACCAAACTTGGTGTGTGAGAAGCGGTAATAGCGGTGATAGTAGGGAGGGTCTTTGAAGGTGTAAGGGCCAAACTCGATGACAGCAGGTTCGTTGATGAGACAGATAAATATGTACTTTGCAGCAATGGTGTTAGAGAAACCGAACGTGATGAAACAGGTAATAACGACGACATGGAAGTCAGAGGTAAAGAAGATCCAATTCTTGCCTTTGTATTTGTTGTCGTTGTCGGTATCGTCGTCGTTGTTGTTGGTTTTGCTGCTGTTGTGGTTTTTGGAACTGCTGTGGTTGCCGCTGCTGTCGATAATAATATGACAGACAACATTGACTTTGATGTCGCCTGTACATTGTTTGATGAGCTTAAGTGGTTATCAATAAACAAATAAACAATAAACAAATAGAAATAAACAAAGATGTCAAAATTGCAGAAGTTCCGATAGCCTTTGTAGAGACGCTGGGTCTGTAATTCGACAATATTTCTTTAATCAAATTGTCATGTTTCTTCGAGATCTTACAAAATTATTGCTAAAATAAACCTTTATTAACCTTAATGTAGCCCATAGAGCTAATTCCACTTTTAATTAGCCTGATAGCATAATTGATAGCATAGTGTCAGGGAATTGGTTAACGGCTGTACGTCCATCTCTAAAGCTGTACTTTCAGGTTTATAGAACCTATGTCGAGATCTCTGAAATTTTGTTTTGGTCTTGTTTTTGATTTTGCTTTTGATCTTTTTGGGCGGTTGACCTAAAGGAGATTGTAAAATACAATTTAATGTGAGAGAAAACTACAAAAACAGCAAAACACAAACAGCAGACAAAAACAAAAATAACAAAGCAAAAACATGAAAAAAAAAAAAAAAAAAAAGCATAATACATAACCAAAAGAAAACAAAAGGAACACAAAAAAGACCGAAGACAACCAATAGAGGAAAAGATTAGAATGGCCGATTATAACTTTGTGAGCTTAATAACTCACTTGTTTCAACTGGATCTGCTGTTTCACCAACTTGACAAATATACTTTTTATGTGCTTCACAATCAGCTGCTACTAGTACATCTTGTGTACTAAGATACAAGCACCGTTTATCAGTGTCCGATTGTTGTTCAACTCTGTTGACAATTGTTTCAAAGGCTGTAGTTGCGGTCACTAAAGTTCCATCGCCCCAAACAAAGTCACCTTTCGTTGTATCATATTTGATACCGATCCAGTATTCCTTAGGGTCTTGGTATTGTAAGAATGCAGTTCTTGCCTTTTGAAGTTCAGCTGAGCTTTTGATTTTGGCGAGGAATCCGCCACCATTTCTTTTACAATTCGTCACCGCATCAGACCAACGATGGAAGCTGTTTTTACCTGTATACGAAGCTGCACCATTTGCTTTTTGTAGTTCTAAGGAATTTGAAAAAGAAATTGCGCTTTCTGAGCTTGGATCAAATTAAAACTAAGTTATTTATATTAAAGATCCTGTTTAAATACTCTAAAAAATGAGCAGGATAATTTTCAAGTTAATCAGTAACTTGAAAATCATCGTACCTATTCTTCAGAGTATTTAAACAGGTGGGCACAATACCAGGTTATGATAACCTCTGTGGTATTGTTCTTTTGTTCTAGCCATTCTTAACTGCAAGGTTCTAGAGACTTCAACACAATAAATGGAGGCTAGCACATTCCCTGATGAAGGCTGTGTACCCGGCAACGTTAACACATTAAAATTAAATGTTGTGTTACGTTAGAGCCTCTGAAAAGAGCGTCTCTGGTTAAGTGCAAATAGTTTGCTAAATAAAGATGAATTCCAAAGTTGCTTTGTTTACAGAAAATATGGCGCAGAATTATTTTAAAAGGAAGTCGTGGACAGCCCTAATTGCTTTAACCTCATCTGGTGAAAAACTGTGATGACTCCCTCGAATTTTCGTCTCTCAGACTTTTCATTTCTATGGTCCATAAGGGATTTAGACGTAAGCAGGCTGAGTTAAAGTCAGACGGAAATTTTTTTCTAGAGGGATATTAAGTTGCCGGTTGTAAGGGAAAGAATTAACAAGCAAAGGTCGTCAACGAAAAGACGAATATCATTCATCGATTATAAAGAAACAGAAAGTACTCGTCCTGTATGGCTAAACTCTCTACTATTACATTATACGCCTGCCGCTACACCATGCACTTATAGCTGGTTAGTACTACACCAGGAAATCCATGATAGGTGAATCCAAATAAAAGATGTAGCCATGCAGTTCGGATGAAAGTTGCTTTTCATATTTTCCGTTTGAGAAATTTAAGTTTAAACATCAAGAATCAGGTCTGAATTGTTTAGAAACAATTTCTCGATTTACTTAAATTGTACACTAAGGGAATGTGATTAATGTGACTGATAGAAATGTACACGTACATACCAGCAAGAAACAACATAGAAGTCAACATTAATTGAAAGCTCATGATCTCTCTTCGTGCAAAGGCAGCTGCCACTCTGTGTTAAGACTGAGCTGTTTCGTGGATCGGTGAAGATTAGAAACGGGACAGAACTTCATGCGAGGTACAGCACGACACCATTAGTTTTCTCTGGTCCGGGTCCAAATAGTGGAGATAGTTGTCTGCAAAACATTGTTGGTTAATTATTTACTGTTGACACAAAGATTGTTATTAATAGAGAAGCGGCAGTCTGGAGAAGGGGTAATTGTCAAGCAAATTAATTTACATACGTAAAATTAGCGAGTTTCGTTTCAACTCTAACGATGACTTCTAATTAGGTGGTCGAAGATTCCGTTACTTTTGCCGAAAGAAACGAATATTCTGACGAGAGGCTCACGCTCGAAACGTCAGCTTTAGAAACTGTTCAGGGCGGACAATTTACGTTATCAACTCACTTTATAAAACCAAATTATCTACAAAAGATGTGACCTAGTTTGTAAGTTTTGAAAGAAGTCCCCCGTCCACCCTCAGGCAGCTTTCGGCAATATCTAAAATACACTTAAGTCTGCATATGCATATAGTCATCTTAACATCAGCGTATCTGCATTGTAAAATGACCCACTAGTCAGGTTTTAAAAGTATTTTCAAGCTATTTATTAGGAAAGCTATCATTTTAAACTGAAGTATCGTGGCAATTTTCAATACTATTATCCAAGCCTATACACCTACCGTCAGAAATGAGGAAAAAGAGAAAGAAACCCAGTCAATTCGAAATAAATAAATAATAACATAAAAAAATTAAAGAACGGTATGTCTAACACTACAGCACCTTGTAAAACTCTCCTTGTCACGTTGATTTCCATCAAATAAATTTTTGGTTAAATCAAAGTGGTCTCTACCGGCTCTATTTTGCGTTTTTTTTTTTTTCTGAAAAATGATTTAGTTGCAAAATTGAGTGTTTTAAAATTTAAATTGCACTGCTTAAAATAACTTCATTTAGTACTTACTGATAATAAGACAACAAAATGATTATTCAAGCTTCTGCAAAACTTGGGTACGTCATAAACCTTCCCATAAAAGTTGGATTGTCGAGCAAAATGCCATAATTTTCTAGGTAAAAGAAAAATGTTAATTTGCCAAGAAAAAAAATATATTAATAATTGAGATTAGTGCTACACGCAACCACCACCGAACATTATGCAAAAACAATAATGTTCATCGTACGAGATTTACGAGGCACAGTAATGAGCCAGAAAGTAAGAGATTTGAATCTTCTTACACCGTAGATAAAGTTCCAGATTGTAGCCTAATCCACATATCTTTTAATTAGAAATACTATCATGGTTTGTTAATGGCAAAATGAATGCACTTTCCAAAAGTGACTTCTCAATTCATTTGCATGTTTAATCTGAAAAGATAAACGAAATTCTCAAGACTAGCACGGGAAAAAAAAAAGAGAGAGAGAGAGAGAAACATACTCAGCTACTGTTACAATTGCCATTTCTCACAACTCATTGTTTTTCCTTACGATTATAACTTTTCTGATGCATGATGTCCGAAACACTTTGAACATGCTTATTTTGTTTTGTTGTTCACTAATCCTGCTTAAAATCATTAGGTTCTGTAAAACAATGTATGGATACTTTGAATTAAACAAACATTATTTTTTATTATTTTTTTTTCGGGTCGGGGTTGTTTTTGTGTAAAGATACTGAAATCTAAACATTACTTTCCCTTCTTCTCCGACAATCAAGCTTCGGAAAATTTTTTTGATTGTTATCAACTTCCAGATCTAGGTTTTTCAAATTTAACAAATTAAGCTGAAAATCTTAAACTAAAGAATTGTGCCACAGTTGTATTTTCTCTGCTTTAAACCATATGGCTTTCGCACATAATTAAAATTCAGAGGCACTCTTCACGAAAAGATAAACAGTTCTACATGAAAGTAGCGGCTGGAAGTGTATATTGTGTGCCCGTGATGGCTCACCCTTGAATATCATTGTTTTGGACTTAAGTCCAAATTTTAGATCTTTGAAGTGGTCTCTCCAGCAATCTGTAGTGATTTTAAACTTTTGTAGTTTCCAACTCTCAAAATCGCACGAAATCAAAAATCTCTAAGTTTTCATCCCCAAGCTAAGTTATGGATTCACTGGAGTTTCCTACGGAATCGCACCGGTGGAGATAGTGTCTTACTGAGAGACAGATAAGTTGTTTAAAGAAAATAGAAAATTTCAGTCAATTTGAATATAATGCATCCGTAGGCTGACAGAAAAATAAATAGTCTTTATGACCCTGAAAGATTCCGTCCTGCGCGTCATCTTCATCAGTCATTCGTCAAGAACTACGACCTTGGTAATTTCGAAAGTGGATCAGTATCACTTAGCTGATAGCGACAGAATATAATAAGTTAAGTTTGTGTAGGATAATATATGATATAAATAAAGTCAAAAGTAAGGCAAAAGACTCTGAAATTCTAAGACATAGGAGATGTGGGCTGTGATTGCAAGCTCAGAGGCCAAAGTTTTAATTAAAATTGCACAAAAACGAATTGCTCGTGTACAGATTATTACCCAACCGCCCCCTTCCCCTGCCTTTTTCCCCCTTATTTTCGCAAGTGCATCCCAAAATTACCTTCAGTCTCTCCAAACGATGTCGGTTTGGTAAACGCTAGTACTGTTAGCTTGTAATAACGTCCTCCTAATTCTTAAATTTCGGGCAGAAATTTGATCTGCGCACGAAAAGAAAGCATGTTTAATTTATTGAGGACAGGTGTTTTAGTTAGTGATTACTTTTCAATGTTTGTTAATCAACTAAGAGAGGCCTGAATGGGATTTTGAAGAACTGGAAAGGGTTAAATTCTTGCAATTAACGCTCTAATTTCAGTTCCATCAAAAATCCACTCTGAACAGGTCTCGTCGGTTGGAGAACTTAGAGATATCAGTTAGCTGCTGTCCTTGGAATTGGATAAGGCTGGATAGTAGGGGACTAATGTCCCACCTCCAGGATGGTCCCTAGTTTTAAAGTTATGCATTTCAAACTGAATTTGTCAATTATGCTATTGACAGTTATCTCCTTAGAAACAGAGCACTCTTTCTTTCACATGCTCATGACAGAGACAGCTACTTTCCGCGAAAAAGCTCAGGACAAGGATGTTTACGAAAATTGCCACACAAAAACATTTTTTTTTTCTGACGCAAAAATTCGCTCTTCGTCTGTGACAATTCAAGTTTGTTATCAGGCTAATGGCTCCTTAGAGTCCTGAGATAGTTGAAAGACGTAAGCAGGACTGCTGTGGAGAACTTTTTGTACGACGGATAGTTGCAGGAATAATTGTTGAATTCTGACAAAGATTAAAATTCCAAGAGGCTTGGAAAGAAATTTATGCATGTGTTTTCTCAGATGGATTATGAACTTTCAGCAAATTTATATTTAGGGATTTCGCAACCAGATTGACCAAGACTGTGGAAAGAGAGAGCAGTTTCTGATTTTAATCAGTATGATGGAAAAGAAAGACAGGTCATCTTTTCATCTTCGATGTGTACTTCAGTTCTTAGGCGACGGTCTTTTCGTAAACAAATATGAGAATTATGATTATAGTCATTTTGTTGAGATAAAGGACTCATTTTAATCCAAAACTGCATTGCATGACTAGTAATTTTGTTCCAGCAGTGTTATATTGAGATCCCAGTGAGAAGACAGTTTGTAAATAAAATAATTTTTAAAATACTTCTGGAATAACAGAAAATTAAGTACTCTAGAGGTAAGAATCCTCGCAAATTGGCAGTTGCCGCATAAGAAACAATGTGCAGCAGATAATTTGCGTTAAAGAAGCTTTTCTTCTCAAACAATTTTCTTTTAAAAAGAATTATTTGGATGATGTAAGCATCTGTTTATTTGAATTCCATTAGGTTTTGGCGAAGCTAGAAAGTATTGAATTCTCCAATCACTTCTGCGGCCATAAAAGCAAGAGAAAATGTATAAAAATTGACTTATTACCCAGGGTTCCAGTCCACATTTTCAAAACAAAATATTACAAAATATTAGTCGATCCTATAGGTGATAGAACGTTTTTTTTTTCGTGGGAGAAGTCAATTTTGATTATTAATTCTTGGAATATACAAGCACGAGCCTCGTTAAGTTTTCATGAAGATTAACAACTTCGATGCCTGAATTATGCTGTTTCTGATAAAAATTTTTTACAAGCAGCACCCTTGGTGTGCAAAGAATGGATCTACTCATCAAGGTAGTTATCTCAGCCAAATTCCGTTTAAGACCTTTCTTTCTTTTTTTTTTTTTTTTTGTGAAAATCTGCAAATTTTCCTCCGATTTCCTGCCTTATTTCAGAAACAGCTCAGACAAATTAATGTTTACCCAGCTTTGCAAGTGTGAAACAACTCATCTCCTTTGTCGAATTCCGAAAATTGCTTTTTGAGTGAGATTCATTTTTTCAATGGTTTTCCACAACAAATCATGCTCGATTGGGCAGTGTACAAAATGTATACTGCAATCCAGTTAATGTGAGTTTTCACTGTTAAATTTAAACGACTGAGTTAGAAAACTACTGGAAAAAGTTCATCTCTTTTTGGCACCTCTGCCAGCTAGTCAGCGATAATTAGTACTTGGCACAATGAACAAATTTTGTCCCCAATAGGCGGTTATTTAGTCTTCAGCAGTTATTATGATTACAAAGTGGTTCATGTCCTATCCGTTTTCAAAAGTAAACACAGATGCAGTCAGTCAGGGTGTTATAATTGCTTCTTTTGAATGTATTTTCTCCAATTGGAATAGCGGTAAAATTAAAAGCGTGAAATGTTGATCAATTAAAACGAGAACGAAAAATCATTTTAATTTCACATCCTTGAAAGTGCCATATCTTTTGAAACTGAAATAAAAATTTAAATCGTTTCAATGAAAATAACTTCTTTCTAGCCTACTTATCACCATTCCAGTAATCAAAGAGAAGAATCGAGATCAAAGATTTAATAATGAATATGGTCATCCTTGAAAGTGTTATATCTTTTAGAACTCAAATAGAATTCAAATCGTTTCGATGAAAATCAGTTTCTTTCCAGCCTAACAATCATCATCCTAGTACCCAGATTAGAAGATCATGCACAAAGATTCATTACTGAGTACAGCCTTTAAAAAATGAAATGATCTCCGGTTGACTTTTCAATCTAATTCACAGTGAATTTCGTCTATTCATACCCAGTTCATTACACAAACTGTGTCAAATTTAATTCGTAAAGCTCGTCTTTAAAAGCTACAATCGACAAAATATCTTTCTGAACCATCAATGCCACAACCGGCTTCGAAAATCAAACCAAATAATTGAAACATAAGCGAAACAGGCCATAATCTGCGATATTAAAATAGTGGATTGTAATATTGGCGCAGTGGTTACCTAGCTTACCTGCAAGATTGCTGAACTTCTTTTCGTCTGTCTTTTCGACATTCGCTGGGTCAAAAGTTCATGAGATGTCCTCTTAGCCTTCCTGTGAATACAAGCAGGTTCTGGCAGCGCAACGCCCGTTTTCATAAACTTTGTTTGAAAAAGCCTGATTTTCTTGAAAATGTTATGAAGCTGTGCACTGACATTGTTAACTAAATGTGTGACTTAATTATAATTTTTTTCAAGTCGTTTGAGTTCCTATTGATTCACTGTCAACGGAATGCTTGTGATTGGTCAAACTAAGTCTATACCAATTAGCAAAGGTAGGTTTTGGTTAATAGGCTATCTACTACACAAGTTCTTATGATACCTTTTGTAATTCTTTAGGTGTTTCAAAAATCTTTTTGGTGACTGGTGTTGTTCAGACAGTACGTAGAAGTTGGAATTGAGGAAATAAGGATCACTTATTCTTAGAAAGAAATTGAGGAAATGAGGTTCAGTCTCTTATTCTAGAAGGTAAGCCAATTTGGTAATTTTGTAACAAACTGAAAAGGAAAGAATTATACTAACTAGCTTCTTCTTAATGCAACTGATCGAGCTTGTAATTACTTGAAGGCGATTTTCACTGAGTAAAGATGAAGCGTCATCAGACAGAATTTAATAACGATGTTGAACCCTGGAGTAACAGCTGCTTATGCTGCCTAAGAGTGCTCGTGGAAAGTTAAAACCACTGAATATTCGAGGACCTGAGGGGAAATTATCGTCAGAGTAAAGGTTGTCAGCAATTTTCAAATCAGTTACGTTTAAAAGTTAAGGTCAGCTGTTGCCGTAGTAGATCACGTGTACCTGCATTTGTCGAAGATTATTTTCAAGGCTATTCAGTCTCATTTCATGAGCCAAATCACCTGGCCTAAAGTTATTTTGGGTTTGCATGCGCTTGCATGAAAAATCGTCCAATCCCACTGACCACTAATTTTTTTATGGCCAATAAAACGGGGAAAATCCATCCAACTCAAGCCTGAAGATTTCGCTCAGCAATCAGAGCAATCTGTTTTAGCAACTTTGAAATAACTCGAGTTCATTCTATTCCTCAAGATTTCCTGCCTACTTCTTTAACGGATCTAGAAAAAACTGGGCACTCAATCATTCACTGCATGGCCCTACTACAAAAGCTTTTCCAGGTCACCGTACTTATCTCGCTAATTGCAACTTCCATCATTTTAGCTTATTATTGTAAGAATAATTATTCTCATTTTTGTCTTTTTGCTTGTCTATTTACAAAGAAAAGAACGATTAAAATATTTTCTGAGGAGTTTTTCTGTAGTTTGCCTTCTCTCAGCAAAGTGGGATTATGCTTGAGAGGTCGAAATTTGGACGTGTCGCAAATGATTTTCAATATGCCCTGGTCACTATCAGTTGTTGACAGGTATGAAGAAACATAGGCATGCGCCAAATGGGAAAGGTCTGAAATAGGTTCCTGCTTGTTTAGTGACTGCCGATCTCAAGAAGCACAGTCTTGAAGGAATTAAGGAGGAACAAAAGCATTGTCATCTGAAAGCCAGACAAAGGGAATGGGGTTGTCGTCTTACATCGAACTGAACGAACTGCTTGATCGAACTGATCAAGCGGTCACCTCGACTGTGATTAAAACATTCAAATGAAAATCTCATTCAAAGAATATAAAACGTCGTCTAAGAGAGCAATAGCTGTACAGCTTTGATCCACATACATGAATATCAGATATAGAGTGTAATGAAACGAAATCAAAATAATCACATAGACCAATGAAAACAAAACAAAACAAAACAAAAAAGGAACTACAAGAGGGAGCTGATAGGAACTCGGAATGCAAGAGGTCGGGTCAAAACTGCCTAACGACTTGCCGATTCTTCCAAAGGAGGCCAATGCAATACTGGATTTTTCTCACTCAATTATGATCGCTCTAAATGATTTTGTGACGTAGACCGATCTTCAATTGAGTGTCGAAAGCATTCCGGTGTTTGCTGGCTCTCCTTATTTAATATATGAATACAATAGTATTTGACTTGTGGTTGACAAAAGACGAAATGAAACTCGCATGTTAACTTTAATTTACTCTTTAACCCCTAATTTGACTGACATTTAAATTCTCCTCACATATCACCACTGAATCACACATCAATGTCATGAGGATATAGGAAATGATCACGAACTAAAGAAACTCTTGATTGTTCGACAAATTCTCCTTGTCAGCACCTTAGTAAATGTACAGAGAACAGTATGGAGATTATGAATACTGATGTTAGGGTAAAGTAATTGGATTACGTAAAGAAATGGGGCTTGAACTTAAACTCGCGTGTGTGCTAAAGCGAAGTTACTTGTCCAAATATCAAGAATTGGGAATTTTTTTAAAACCCTTTTTTGGCTCCTTTACAGTAAATATTAATATGAATAGTGTGTGCTAAAGTGAAGTTACTTCTCTAAATATCAAGAATAGGGCATTTTTTTTCTTTTGGCTCTTTGCCCTTTGTGTAAATTTTGTTACTTCAGGATGAAATAAAGTTTAAAGTGGATGTTTCTCGCACCTTTACTCTTACAGGGTAGCCATTTTTGCTGTCCTGTATTTGAACGCGATCATCTATTCTGTGTTGTCTGCAATGTAGAACGCGGCGAAACTCTACCTTGAAAGCCTCGTTTGTTCCTGCATAAATGAATGGATTCACTGTACTCGAAAAAAACAGCAAAAAGGTGCACACAAGTTGCACATTTCGTGGCACTACGCTTGCGGTAAAACGTTGCGTCATAGCGATGATCCAAAATGGGATCCAGCATAACCCAAAAGCTAGGACGACAACTGCTAGAGACTTCGTAATTTTAATCTCTCTAATACTCAAGTGACCGTCTTGTCCAACTCTTTGGAATGAGGTTATTACGTTCATGTTGTGTTGTTTAATTGTCTCAAATACATTGTAGTAACAGAAAATTGCCAGGGTGAAGGGGAGAACGAGAAACAGTAATACCACGATACAGTAATGTGTAATTTTAGCAGCTTCAGTTGGGTGAATGATAGTACACACAGCGTAACCAGGAATAAAGCCATATGCAGTCCAACCGGCCATCCGGGGAATCGCAACATACCCTGCAACGAACATCCATACCGCACCAACGTAAAGCTTCGAAAGGAATGGTGTGAAAATGTAGGAATAATGACTTGACTTGACAATTCGAATGTATCTGTTAACAGCCGCCAGGCCCATGGTCGTGGGAGAGACATACACAGAAAAAAGGGTGAAAAACGCATGCAAATTGCACATAATTTCCCCATAGGGCCATTTCCCAGTAATCAGGACGCCAACTGCTAACGACATTACTACGATGGAATTCAGAAGATCGCTGACTGCTAATGCAAAGACATACACGTTGGTCGTTGTACGGAGAGTTGGGTTTCTGTAAATCGAAATGCATATCAGCAAGTTGCCCGTCGAACACAGAATGGCCATGGTTACCAAAATCGCTGGCTCGATAATTACAAGTGCCAGAGGACGCTGTTCTATGGCTGGGTACATCATTAAAGTAAAGCTATCAGACGAAGAGTGGTTTTTGCGCTGGTCTTCACAGCTCGCAAATACTCTGAGTTTCGTTGGCGACGATATCTTCAACGAGACTTAAACACCTGCAGATTTTGCATATTTTTGGATAGGACTAGGACTAGTACGGAATTAAAAGGGTGAATGATACTACCTGCTGAGAGTTCATTATATTTGAAAGGTTTGCCAGCACATTTCACGAAAATCGTTCACTCTTGACAACGACAAAGACAGCAGGAACGACAATGCTATCGCAGTTGTCTTCCAGTCATTAGCATTCGTTCAGATTTATTCGACACATCAACTGTTATGTTAATCAGAACCGTGTCCAGGTTAGGTAAACAAAGACCCCTACTCCACTTTCTTTATGTTCGTAAATTGTAATGTGTCCGTGTGGATTAATTCGTCTTACTATATGATCATTAAAATACTTTTTTTTTTCTTTGCAGGATGTCGATTCTTCTGCGGTTGCCTCAAACGCAAAGATTTGGGTAATATCTTTAATCAAATGAAACACGAAACGCCAGTATAAACCGAACCTTACGCAGAGTATACGATGGTTTGACCAAAGAGATACATGCCTGTTTTTAACGGCTACTTGCCGTTCTTGATTAATTAATCTTTTAGCAGCGGACGAACAGTCCATTTCGAGCAAAGAAAAGATACTAGACAACAAAGATGATTTGAATCAACAAACACTTCAGGAAATTAGCACTTTCAGCGATAGGATATGTGTTTATTGAAAAATGTTTTGAGAACACTGCAAAACTGCTTGTAAATGCAATAGAAATGAAAAAGCGTCGTCAATAGAATATATTTACAGGGATAGGCTTTAAAATTATAATAAGACGCTAATAAGATGTTGCGGTAACATTGGCAAATGTATCTCTCGCTAGCATTACCGTACCTAGCGGAAAAAAAATGTCGACTTGCTTTCCGAAGTACACCTGACACACAAGCTCTGTTTTTCCCTCTTTGACGAACGAAAAAAAAAAGTTTAACCGTTTACAATATTATTTAAAATTTGTAATTATCTACTGTTTTATTTTTAATTGGCTACCATCAAGATGTTCTAAAGCTGATTTTTCAAGCTTTATCCCGCCTTCGTCAGAGCCATGATATACTCCCCACCGTCGCTGAAACTTAATATATACTCCCTTCAGTGTTATTTGTTTGATGTGCACCTGGAGGTTCAGGGGATTTTTCGTCGAACATTTGAATGACAATACAAAAAGAGGAATAAAAAATTACGAGTTACGCCACACAGGAAATAAACAAAAGGGCTATTTTTTGTTCTTCGCGCATGTTTCGTTCAAGATCGAGGTATTGTCAGTTTTGAAACTGACTTAATTCTACTTAATATTATTCCATTTTATTACTAGCTTGAAATATAAAATAAGATGAACACTGCTCGCAGTTAGCAACAGGTAGTCGATGCAAGCAGTGGTATAACGCCTTAGAGAATATTTAACCTCAATATAGCAAAACTACAGCTGTAATACAAAGTATAAAATACAATAGAATAACCGACAAGTGTCTTAAATGTAAAAGGTCTTTATAACAGAATAGCTATTAATTACCATCGATTACAAGAAGGAAGAGGAAAAAATTACGTGCCACTTACTATACACCTTTACGAGAAAAGAAACTAGGTCTTCATAAAAAGGAAGATAATATAATCAAATGATTATTGTACTAACAAAAATTTTAAATCAAATAAAAAGGCGAACGAGAAATCAAATTAATTAACTAAACGATAATAACTCTGGGTCCGTAAAGTTACCGGTACTTTCGAGAAACGAGCACTTGGCCTGCTCGTCTGAGTGTGAATAGAACTGGGTGGAACTGGGGAGGACTGATGTCAGTGGTAGCGACTTCCGTTTTGACAAACTGAGCGGAAGTCATCATTAGTGTCAGGACTCGGATGATGAGAAGACTCGATTACCAAAAGACCAGAGGTCCGATGGTCGAATATAAGCTGGTGGGTGTTTCGAAACTTCAAAAGATTTTTTTTCCTTCAGGAACAAACAAAATTCATTATTATTATGTTTAGCAAAAGGTGCCTACGTCCTTAGCTGAGACCGAGCAGATGTTACTCGAACCTAGAAATTCAGGCATGCGCAGCTCTTAAGCCTTCACCCAACCAGCTGCAGTTCATAAATAAATGTTCCAAAATATACATTTAGAGGAGAATTTGTGTTGTGCGTAGGTGGGCAGGATATTGACGAACTTGATTCAATCATGTTTTCTAAGTCAAAAGTTTTGAGTATTTGTATGTCAAACGAAAGACCGCAATGGGGAATTTGAAAAGATGTATAATTGAGTCAGAGCTCGAGAGATAATGATACATATTCGAATCTTTCGAGATCTAAACTTTCTTAGTTTGTTGACGCTGGCAATTGATTGCTTGCTTGCTTAAATTCCATGCTCACTCTGATTAGTTTGACTTGTTAGTCGGGGGAAATGTTGCTTAGAAATTGACTTTCACAATCTCTCACGATCTATCAATTAACCATGGTAGAAAGTTGCTTAGAGAAGGTCGTCTAAAGGAAAATAAATGAAATGATTGAAATGATGTGAATCTTATTCTGGAAATGAGAATTTTAGAAACATTACTAACACCTTCCCCATCATCAAAAAAATCATTTAATATGCAATTTCAGTGACGAGATAAACGAAAGACTGTTAATTGGAAAATTTATTCGTTCAATAAAAGACAAATCTGAGAATGACGAGCATAAAAATAACTAGCTTCAAAGAAAGCCTCAGGATAATGAGACACAAAATTCATAATTTTTGCAAGGATATGACGGCCTTAAATTAAACCTTTTGTTTTAGTTAAGAGCATATTAAGAGCACTTCTTATGTTTCCTTCCAATGAGAAAAAACATGCGTCGGTAAATCATATGTACCAGGAGAACTTTTCCCACGATTTCACACGAAATTCAACATTCTACGCCAGTAAACGAGCTTGAATCAAACGTTGTTCCTGCTTACTCATTATTAGCGATTATTGAATTTATTGCTAAATAAAAATTTTTAACGGTATCTCTCTCCTTCTGTTGCCTAATGGCAATTACAACCCTTAACTGCAGCGTAAGCGTCGCCGATGACTTTCCGAACGGCGACTCGCTTCTCTCCATGCCGCCAAAAATAAACAGCAAAGTTCAAAACTGAGTTTAACATCATTATTACTTCAATAAAACGCCAAACTATGGCATGAAGTACTTGGTCGACAACAGTCGATTTAAGGACGAAGTAGTAGCCCATAGCTGGTGCAAAACATACGATAAACATTCCTACTAATACGCCAAATGTTTTTGTAACTTTTCTCTCGTGCGCTCGTCTTCTTTCTTCTTCCGGGTTCGGGGCTGGTCCTACAACGACACATCTAAGACGACGAATACGAAAAGTAATCCTAACACAAGTAAATAGTACAATTGCACTGCTGAAAACTATCGACGCGATTACTAGCGCCACATAATCAATCGTTCCTGTGAAAACACATACGCTTAAAAACACGCGAAACAGCGCGTAGGTACCAAAGGCAATGACGATACGCTTTTTGGTCACCAATTGCAAATACCTTACACCCTTAAGAATCGCTATGTAGCGATCGATAGAGATGACAGCGATGTTCTGTAAAGTGCTATCGGCTACTAAGGTCACTATACCAGTGACGATATGTTCTAGGGAACAAGTTCTAAACGGACAGGCCAGGAAGAATATTGCCTCTGAAATGATCAGCGGTTGCATCACGACACCATTAAAGAGACCCACTGATGCCAAACTTAGCAGGCACATGTTCAGAGGAGTTTGAAGAGCCGGCGTCTTAGCGTAAGCTGTGATCCAGAGAGCGTTGCCCATGACAGACGCCACAGAAAGACAACTGGTTAGAATCACGACCAGTATAAGGAGCGGCAAGTAGAGTAAGCTCGGTTCAGAACACGCTGTTAAACTCGGATGCAAAGGCCAGGTACACAGCGGCTCGCTGACGTTCGAAACCAACATTTTTATATAAATCGCGATTAAAACACGTACGGAGCTTTATCTCGGAGTAATTTTGTTCTTATACAAGTAACCAAAAATCGACCAGGTCCCTCGGGTTCGAGAGACTATCTATGAGATGCTTCGTTTATTTGTGAGAGATTCCAGTTGCTATGTAACTGAGCAGGTCCTTGAAATGTTCTTTTGGATATTGAATGCTGTATCGAGAAAGCAAAAAAAATTATATATGAATATATACATATAAACTGCTGTCTACGGTTTCGGTTGAAAAGCGAAGGAACTGAAAAAAAGATAATCCTGTATAAAATTGCTAATTACTCTTTCCTATTACTTATTCTCGTTAAAATTTTAGGTTTCGGTTTCCAAACGGACCAGGAAAAGGTTGTCATGTGCAATTCCGTTTAAATTGTCAAAAATGACTCGGAAGAAACTCTCTTTTCGAAACGCAAATGAAAAACAATATTTGTGCGAAATAAGTTTCAACAATAGTATTACCTGGAAATATCACTCTTCAGAGTTCATGTAGTGATCAGCTTTCTCAAAAATACCAAGAATAGAGTTGTTCAATGTTCGTCCAATTCCTGGCCGAGTACAGCAAGAGACAGAACGCCAAAAAAGTTTTAGAAGGAAACAATCCACCTACAGAGGACACCTAATATGTTTCTGAGGGAAGGCATCTTCTGTTTTATTCAAATTTTGTTTCGTGCTAAACCGGATCCCTGCAAAAGAGGCCTTTGTGTCCTTTTCTAAACTTTCACCTGTGCTGAATACATACATGAAAACTTTTAAAATCGAATTTAAATGTTTTCGACACCTCGGTAAGTCGCTCAAAGATCTCAAGTGCGGCGCGCTGAGCTCGGCAAATTTCCGAGCTTTAATCAGTCGGGATTATAGACAGAGGCTTTTCTCGTCAAAAAACGCTATATTTCGCGGCTCCAAATCTTTAAAGTTGTGTTGTTCATTTGTGCGCAGATCTACATTTGCCTCCGTAATAACAAACCCACATCCGATCATCTCAATCTCTTTCATGTCCAGCAACTCTTGGTCGCCAAGTAATTAGCATAACTCCTACGACTGATTCTTTGCCCGAAATAAACACAGACTTCAGCGTATCGATCACAAAAGGTGCCGTTGATATTATTCTTCAATGCCGCACTAGCGTTCTGTTCTAAAAGCCATACATTAAACTAAAGACAACATGAAATAAAAATTCCAAACAATTACTTTAATAAGTAAATCAGGTCTGTATTAATGTTAAAATCATTAGGCCACTTCCGAGTTCTTGCGGTTCTGGTGCCGAAATTACGGCGTGAGAACTAAGTGAGGCTAAGTGCGAAGTCGCTATCATCGGTTTAAATAATAAGTATCATGGTGCGTGAAAATGAGCAAAAATTTCTCGAAATTAAATGTAGGAGATTGAAAAATTATTCGAGGGAGAGAAGCATTCAGTTAAGTGATCGTTTTGCAAATTACAGTAATCCTTCGCAACGAATCTGCAAGAAAAGAATTAAACGGTTTTAATGAAAATGGAGCTATGCAATTGAGCAATAGCGTAGCTTCATTTCTTGCATATAAACCCACACACAACCAACAATTCCTCCAATCACTCTAACGAAAGACTAATGCTCGAAACGTCAGCCTTTAAACTCTTTACGGTGGTCAATTTACGTTTTCAACTAAGTTGTTAACACTAACTGGCATGTCAAACAACAGCTTAAGATGAAATGGAGGGCAATCACACACGAAGCCGAAAAAAACTAGTTCGAACGAAAAACTAGTTCGAACGAAAACTTTTACTTTTTATGTGCAGCACAAAAGGAGCAGAACTCTCCTGATAGAATTGAACGTAAGTCTACAGACTCATTGACATTCCAGCAAACCACTTGATTCCAATCGCCATGATCAAACACATCCATCTCCATTAGTTCAACACTGTTGCTTCCAGCAGATTCCGAGTCTTTCTTGAAAAGGGAGCAGTTTAGATACTTCAGGATAGAGAACGTTTTCGGAAACACTACACAGTCATCTTGCTTTCCTTCAGGCTGAACTGAAATGCCAAACTTACTCATTCGCATGAAAGTCTTGAAATCCTCTCTTTCCATAATATGCCAAATCAACAAAAAATTGTTATAAACGCCACTTTTAGAACCTTTCTCTCGGTCTGCCAGTAACTCCATCACGGAGACTTGGTGTGCACCATCCTTTAGGAGTATTTTAAGACTCTCAATTGCTTTGATTTGAGACAAGATGTGCTGACTTCCCTCATCAGTATCTCTTACCATGAGAAGAAGTTCAATAAGGGTAAAAACCTGATCTTCAATAGCCTCCGGTTGCTTGAAAATCGGTTCACTCGAAGATTTACGAGAGTTAAACAATTTCGACCGAGGGAACAGGGCTGGTTCGGCAGATCGCGGGTGCACAGAGTAGTTCATAGAAACTTGTAGAGGGTGCTCCATCGGTGGGTCAGAACTATTTTTTTTATTTTTCAAAGTTTCCAAATCTTGCCTGATTAAATGAAGGATCTTTAGGGTCTTTTGGCCAAGTTGGTGCAGCTCCCATTTCTCCTCACTTTCTATCAAAACTTTCAAGAACAACGTCTTCAGCGTGTAGGTTGTGATGACTGCTTTATATTCCATCGTGTACATGTCCAGTTGAGATTCAAGGAAAGTTTGAATGAGATACTTCAAAACACGATAGCAGCGTTTTTCGACCGAGTCAAGCGGAAGAGAGCTTAGCTTTGATAATTCCCATGGGGACTCTGATCTTCGTGAGCACGAAATCGTATTAATCGACCAGAAATCAAATAGTAGTTGCAGAGGTTCAGAGTTGGGCGTACTATGGGAAATCTGGATGGCCAAACAAATGTCAACTGACACAAACCTTTCTGAACCATCAGCATCAGTAAACTTGAGGATTTGGAGGTATGTTCTGCCAGATGGGTATTTCAATCGGGCGACATGTTGCCACTGGGGGAATTTCTTAACCTGTGACAGCAATGATCGATGAATCGCCGCAGACACCATGGCGGAGATTTCATCTCTCCAAGGACTTTTGCCATCTTTAAAAATAAGTTGATCTCTCCTCCTTTGTTCGTTTTCCTCTTGATCGCACCAATCAGGGCAAAGAATGTCTTCCATAAAACAGAGCTCTTTCATGCTCAAAATAAGCTTCGTCGATTGAATGTTAATGTCATAATCATCCGCACAAAAGGCTTTACCATTTTTCCATAACAATTGTTCTTGTAACGCAGGTAAAATAAAAACGTAGTCAAATTCATCTGCTTGTCCAATCTTAGTACCCTCAACCATACTGCCTCCCTGTTGGACAACTGCGTTGTGAAACAAACAGTACTTACCAGAAAGGTCCAGTAACGTACCTTGTATGATCTGGTTCAGCTCTTCTTGGATAATTTGAGCGTTTTCACCGTCTGGAAAATTTGCTTTTGTGTCAGCGAGCTCCGTTAAGAACAAGTCAAGTTGGTTTGGGCAAGCAATGGTTGCTGAGTCTTCACAATACACTTTTGAAGCCATTCAGCATTCAATTATGAGATCTAAAATAAAGTAAGAACAATAGCGTTGCCCCTCTATCTTTTATAATTAGTTTAAAACACTCGACCTTACACCTAAAAAACGTAAGAAAAGTGAAATGCCTCATCCCCTTGTCAAAAATCATAATAAACAAACCAAATAAACACAAAGTAAGCGACAAAAACAAACAATCCGAAGACATATTCATACAACATACTTAACAAAGGGTTATATCCGGTAACTACGGTAAAAAAAAAAAAAAAAAAAGAAAGGGAAATATAGAAAAACAAATCCTTTATGTAATTTCCTTCTGTTTCCTCAAAATTAGTTTTCTATCTTCCAGTCCTTGTCTCCTAATTGTGGAACGATTAGAGTACTTTGCAAATAGAGAATCCATACAAGTGAGAAATACGTCTTTTCGTTTTTGAAACCCAGGTTGAATCACTGCGACCTACCCCTCAAATAACATTCAAGCGTATTAAGAAAACTTCTACACGATACTTCATGTTCTGCAAAACGAACTGTCACTATCGACTTGTCTCCACGACAGTTGGAGCGACTTTTTGCCGAGTGAATTCGATAATTAAAAGAACTTTGCACGATTCAAATTTGAAAATGGCTCATATTTGTTTCTTATTTTCCGTCTTCTTGATCTCTGTCAACGAATTTAAAGTTTAACGACTATTTTTAGAGGTCTTTTGCTGCCTACAGACGACAATTTACTCCATGCAACAGCTGAGGATTCTTCCCCGGAAAGCCAAGCTACGAATGATATATTTCAAAAAGTTTTTGCAGATTGAGTCTTAAGATATCTGTCTAATGTACCTTGTTAACTCGAGCTGTTTCCTTTCAGTAGTTTGAAACCGAAAATTATATCTGAAGTCCGTTCGATGACATCCACCGTCGAAACTGACTGCTGCGCGGTGTTACTTCGCCTCATTTCGCCACAATAGACTTCATAGCTAACCGCTAATCACCAGAATTTTCGCCTTTATGTCGTTTCATTCAAAAGCGATCGTATGTTTTCGCTTGAAGCTCACACTTCAAATTATTAGAATCTTCCCTTTCGTCAGTACTTCCGTCCTGCGCTGAGCGAGTCGCTGCACTCTAGCTCGGCTCCAAGCTCCCGCAAACACCGTCACGAACGAAATGTCACGCAACACTTCATCTTCTAATGGCGGGAATAATTTAATGGCGACCACATCGGTTAGCTTGAGGTTTTTGCCTCGTCCTCTGCGAAGAGCTTTGCTTGATTTTCAAAAAGATGGTGTCCGGTTTGGTATTAGAAAACAAGGAAGGTAAAAAAGCAAAGAATGTGATTAAAACCCCATGCATTTTTTAAAATTATTCAATATTGTTGTGTGTGCTGAATTGGCCCGCATGCGACGTATTTTAAACTGATTTGAATACGAAGAGCTTCTATATCAATGAAACTGATTTTGATTTGTGTTTCTTTCTCTCCTTGTGTGAAATCCGTGGTTATACACATCACAGATGTTTGATAGGAGACGAGGTTTGTTTGAATATTATTTCTTCAAATGATCAATGATTGGTTTAACCGTTCCCTTCTTGCAAGCAATCATTTTTATGGCAGACAGTAAGGAGAATTACTGATGAGATCTTGGGATTGAAAGGTTTAATTGATTTAAAGCCATAACTGTGAATAATTGTCATTATATTGTGCAGATGGGACTTGGCAAAACCCTTCAAGCAATCAGCATTGCATATTATTACAAAGATACCTGGCCACTGTTGATTGTGGTCCCATCCTCTGTCAAGTTCTCCTGGATTGACGAGATCGAAAAATGGCTGCCTGAAGTTGAACCACATGATTTGAATCTTATTAGATCAGGCTGCGATGTAAGGTTTGTCAGCAATGAATGTTTTGTCTGGCAAGAAATGTCCTAGCTGGATCAAGATGTTTATTAGGTGATTTATCCAGCTTCTACAGTTCTGATCATGATTGACAGGACAAGGAGAAATTCTGCACAAAAACTTCAGGGTTATCATTAGGAAATGTAACAGAAAATATACTGGGTGTAAAACCTGAACTGTGTAGGTAGCTGAATTGAATAAAGCTTGTTTGGCAGACAGATGGCATGGAGAAAGAAACATGCACTAGCTTCTAGTAGGGTCCGGGGCATGCTCTCTGGAAAAAAAAAAACTGAAATTTGTAACTCTCAGAGACATCATTTGCAGCATTCTGATGCATCTTCGAGTGCCTTTTGTAGCTAGGTATTGCTTCTAGAATCAGTTCAAAAATTCTTTTTTCTGTCTTTAATCACAATTTACAATTTAGCCAATTCAAAATGGTCTGACAGCTGGTGGGTTTCTGCCGACTACCACCTTTTTCCTTCTTTTGACTACCATTAAAAGAACTCCTTCTTTTTGGAATATTTTACCAAAATGAATTAAAAAAAGAAAAGACATCCACATAACTAACTCACCAAAATAAATCAAGAAAACAAACAAGACTAAAACCTCTGTGAAAGCAAAAAAACCTTTCTGAAAAGTCTATCCCATAGTAGAGTAAAAACCTTTTTAAAATATAACATTTACATACAGCACTTGTTGATTTCTTTTTCAGTAACCTTGGGAAGGCCATGATTCATATTGTAGGTTATGGTCTGCTGAGCTTAGCAACCTCCAAATTGTTACTTGAAGCTCTGGAAAACCACAAGTTAAATATTGTCATATTAGATGAATCACATTACTTAAAGAACAGAAAATCAGCACGTACAAAACATCTGCTTCAAATCTGCAAGAAAGCCAAGCATGCCATTCTGTTGAGTGGAACACCATCACTTGCTAGACCAAGGGAGGTTTGTGAGATATGCTTTCATTTGTTTCGTGGACTGTTTTTGTCTCGAGAAAATTGAATTGACATTTTCACTTTTTCTTTCTAGCTCTTTCCTCAGCTGGACATTATCTGTCCAGGTAGGTTTGGTTCTTTCAGTCGTTTCGTTCAGAGGTACTGCAATGCACGCGATGTATTTTTCAGAGGAAAGAGGAGCTTTGACACAAGGTATATATGGGTGCACTGTATATAATTATTTCTTGTAAACTTTTGTATTTATCTTTTTTATTTGATGTTTGACTGATTCATTGACTGCTTTATTGATTCATCGATATGAATGTAATGCATCAGTATTTTTTAAATTCTTATCTTTATGTAACTGGTATACATTTGGATTGATCAACAATTGAATAATACTTTTCTTTTCACAGTGGTGCTTCAAATCTTGATGAGTTGTATCATCTCCTGAAAACTCATGTCATGATAAGAAGGCTTAAGAAAGAGGTTGGTATACTGTTCAGTTGTATGTACTGCATGATAATAAAAAATCATAATGATATTAATGATAATTTAATAATATTAATATTAATGATGATATTTTAAATTTCTATTTCACAAATTAACCCTTTAACTCTCAGATCAAATTTGTAATTCTCCTTATTGTCAACCATACAATTTATAAAATGTTAGTTCAGAGAACTTAGTATTGGATCAACTAATTATCCCCAAATTGATATTTTTCTTTATTCTCATCACTTGTCTGCTCGATATTGTATTGATATTGTAAGGAGAAATTCTCTCTTGGTCACTCATGGGAGTTAAAGGGTTAAAATGTTGATATGATTAAACATGCTTTACAATTAAACCATCTTAATAATCAAAATCCATGAAGCGAAAATACATCCTCTTTCCAAAAAAAATAATAAAAAAAAGATTACAAAAATATTATGTGGAAAATGCCTATCCTTGATCAAAAGTTTACAAAATTAAATGCGTCTTTAAAGTAATAGAAAGTGTTTTAAGTGACTGCATTTCTGATTTTAAGAGGCAACTTACTTCAAAGTCAAGGTGCAGTGGATGTAAAAGATCTATTCCCAGCCTTTTTTTCAGTCTGTTACTTAGTTATGTAAGAGATATGCCAGCATTTGATACATTCTGAATAACTTGACTAAATTAGATTGTGAAAAATTTCTTCCTTTTTTTCATATAGGTTTTGACTCAGTTACCACCAAAGAGAAGACAAAAAGTTTATTTTGACATCTCAGAGTCCAACAGTAAATACAACACAGTGAGTCAGGATACAGATAACAGCTATGACTGTGCTTTTGTTAACTTCTGGAAGTGATTCAGATAATCTGTTGTCTTCTCATACTTAAAGCTGTAATGAAAAACTTCCCTTGAGTACTCCTGATGAGATGAATGCATATTATCACCACTTAATCTTTTCACTCTGGAAATTATTGCAGATGTAATCATTTTTAAGTGCTGTACATTTCCTTGTAGTTAATGCCATACCTTGCACAAAGCTGATGCCAACTTATTAATTTCTTATCATCTATTTTCTCTACAATGCAGTAAATGTTGAAGTCATGGTGATTTTTTTCTGATTGGCTTCCTGCCTCCTATGTATATTCCATACAAATGAGTCTGGAATGACAGCAAGAAGGTTCCAATAAAATTTCCCATGCTCTTGTCTTGTTATAGGCCAGTTAAGTATGTTTATGTGAGCTTGTGTTCTATCAAATGTTTAGGAATTGAAGCAGATCATGAAAGACTTCAGGAAATGTTCTGCTATTATCAATGGGGCAGTTGCAGATGACCTGTCAATTAAGTCACCTCTGACAGAAATCAGACGCCTATCAACACTTGTATATCACTATACTGGGCTTGTCAAGGTGAGAAGATTCCAGAGTTTGGCCACACTCCACTTCTGTTTGACTCATTACTTAACCCTTTGACTCTCAAGATTTCTTTAGCAATTCTCCTCACTGTCTGCCATGCCATTCCCATGATGTTAGTGTGGAGAATTTAGTATTGAATCAACTTATAATACCCCAATTGATATTTTTCTTTATTCTAATCACTTGTCTACTTGACATTGTATTGATATTGTGAGGAGAAATTCTATCTTGGTCACTCATGGGAGTCAAAGTGTATGTAATGCTTTAAAATAATGGAGAGTGTCTGTCAAGTAATAGCTAGAGGTGTGCTAATTTGAT